AAAAAGCGTGCACTTTTAATTAAAGCGCAAATGTGAAACGGCTCCTTTCGCACGTTTTATTACGGGCGCTCGTCGGTTTACCGAATGCGCGGCGTTGTAATTTCGCTTGCGTTGCTTCCGCCACTTTGCGATAACCCTTTGCCGTTCGCTTCCCGTGTGCCTTGGACATATATTATTCAGTCGCCAGTTTACGCGACCTGAGGCAAGTGTCGTTACATACGGGATACGTATCTCTTTCTCTCTCTATCTTCGTGTGAATCGATATCACGCATTTAGTCACTGAAACAACAAGACGATTATGCAACTAAATCGTATACCTCTTTTTATATGTATGAATTATTATAAAAGCAGTTTTGGCTGATAAGTTGACTTTTCTATATTTTTTAACATTAAAGCATAGCATATTTAAATTTAAGCATATTTACATTTAGCGTATTTAAATTTTATATTACAAAACATTTATAAATAAATTGTTAAACTGTAAAGAAGTTAATTTTTTAAGTTATAATCCTATAAACTTGTCACCATTAGTGTATATTTTTAGTATTGTATAATTTTAGATTATAAACTTTTCTTATTTTTTTTATAATATTTGTTTTAATATTTGTTTTCTTTCAAGTAAACGTATATTGGATACTTAAATATTTATACATCAAGATATTTTCAACAAAAATTTTTTTTTATGTACTTGGTAAATCATTATAACAATTAAATTTCTAATGATAATAAAAATACATTTACATTGTCCATATTCATTATTTCATAACTATATTTTATTAAGCTTGAGTATCTACATACGATTTAACAATGTAAGAAAGCAGTTTTACATTTAAGAATTGAATTATAATAAAATAAAAACTAAAGAAAACGCTACCAAACGTTCATTGTCAGAGATTTTAAAAGGTCTTTTAATGTAATTGTTCAAATTCTAGACACTAAGATCGCGTCAACTACATTAATTGATGTTCCGATTTTTGGACTAATTAGAGAGCTACAATTAATCATCCGAGCAAGCTTCAAGAAACCAAGGGGTAGCTCATAAGCTCATCGATGTTCCTTCTCAGGACTTTCAGCTCTCTGACGTCTATTAATCCTCCATCCCTGGATAGATTCCAGCGCTACGACACGACAACTCTTAACGATGTCTTCGATCGTGTAGTCCTTCAGATTGACAAGTAGCCTTAGTCACAAGTTCGCAAGATGAAATTTCGTTCTTCCTTTATGCTATACCTAACTTTCATAATTAAAGAAGCCGGAATTTTGATTTTGGACGAGAGTATGAGCGACGAACACAGAATATTCGCTCCGCGTATTAATTTATGAATCTGTAAGCATAAATGATGAAATGAAATGCACCATCAAAAACACAAAAAAATAATCCGCCCCGACGATGCAACTTAAATATTCAAATTACGACATTCGAATGCAGATGAGACCACGGAAAAAAATCGTGGGCGAGACCTGGTGCGTAGTTCTTCTTGCATTTTGTGCGTGTACGCGTAGTTACATGCGAGTTTCTGGATGACATCTAACTAAATTTTTATGCAAATGATTATTTCAACAAAACTTTTCCTCCTCGCGCATATATCTGTTTTTGTAGATATTATTTAGTATTGCGTAGTTACATCACAAAAGAGCATAGCGCAATTCAATTTAATGTCTAAATTGTATGGAATATTTTTTAAATTTGCATCTGCAATATTTTCAAACATAAATCAAACCAATAAATTTATATATACATATATTGTTTGTTAGAAGAAATTACTTTTGTATTGATCATATGGAAAAATCTTGTTGAAAACATAGCATATGCTTCGATAACAAACAGAAATTACTGTAGATATTTTTATCATGAATAAAACAAAATGCGTGAGCGAGATTGTTGGAAAACGTAAACATTATACAGTACAACATCGCCGAGCAGCAACAGGCGCTTTCGTCGCTCGACATAGAACAAGCTATATTGTCATTAAAATTCCCTAACGCTAAATGGACATAGCCCCTTCGCAAGCAGCCTCTATACATGGTCCTATTGTTCATACTTCGTAGCGCGTTCCATGAGCTCTATTCTCTTCGCTACACCCTGCATCATTGCAGGTCGGCCACATGATCCGCCATCAGAATGGTGGTTTTAGAGGTAATCAGGAAGATTCACGAGCATCCGTTCTGCGGCCATTTGTTTGATTGTTTAGGATATGGGGTCCTGAAAGAAACTCGGGAGGAATTCGTAGGACGATCACGTGTCGCGCGGCAATAAATTCGCACAGTTCTCTTCTGCGATAATCAACAAACGATCACGTCAAGAAACGATACGGCATTTTCTCATATT